ACCACTGCCTAAACTCCTCACAGCCATAATTATGTTTCAGTAATAAGAAATCTATGGCTGCTCTGTTCTCCAGGGTAGCCTCTCTGACTTGTCTCAGTTCTCTGTTGAGGGCATCCAGGGCATGGGAAGTCGAATTTAAACTTTTGGCTAGGGTACATGCCAGGCTATTCAGATTTCTGGAATTCCTTACTGCTAGCCCTGGCACTCCCACTAGTGATACTGCCAATGCAACGCATTCAGCTGTTGTGAGCAAGGAGACTTTTGAATCACAGTCTGATTCTAAAGTATGGAAAGCTCTTCTGTGTCGCTTCTGCAAGGACGGCATAAGGATTGTCAACCTTCCTAGGGTGCAGGGCCTTATTTTCTTTTAGGGGAATTTTCCTGCTCTTTTAATATTTTTTGAGTTTCTTTTCCTTTTTCTAGAAGACTGAATCATATCTTCCAACAGTAATAAAAGCTTAAATGTCTTTAAGCACCGCCATTGGGTTGTGGTTCAAAAGGGCAAATCGCTTCCTTTTATTTTATTTATTGCAGTCATTGATCTTGTTTCTTTTCTTTAATACTACAAGCAATACTAAGAGCCTTGGTGGCGCAGCAGACTAAAGCACTGTTAAGTAACACCAGCTGCCTGCAATTACTGCAAGTTCAAATCTTACCAGGCTCAAGGTTGACTCAGCCTTCCATCCTTTCGAGGTAGGTAAAATGAGGACCCAGTTTGTGGGGCAATAAGCTGACTGTATAAAAAAGAACACCGCTGGGGGGGGGGGGCGAAAGCCCTACTAAGCAGGTATATACAAAAGTATGAAAGCTATTGCTTAACGCATTGTAAGCCACCCTGAGTCTCTGGAAAAGGGCGGCATATAAATTGAACCAATAATAATATGTTTTTTAATTTTTATTTATTTAATTAATCTTCTCATAGTTCCTACCACCCAACTCCTTCCACATGACTGTATGACTGTAATTTTGTTGCTTGTATCTTTATGATTTATATTGATAGTTTCCTGATTATTTGTACCCTATGACTATCATTAAGTGTTGTACCTTATGATTCTTGATGAACGTATCTTTTATTTTCTGTACTCCGAGAGCGTATGCACCAAGACAAATTCCTTGTGTGTCCAATCACACTTGGCCAATAAAAAAATCTATTCAATTCTATTCTATTTTTTTTCTTGTACTGTTCTGTGTAATGGCAAATTTTAAAAATAGGGAAAGATAGAATGTTTTATTAATGTATATTTCATAATATTTAGAGATTGTCGGTGTGTCAAGAGTTTGACATTTTTTACAATTATGCTTTGTAGTAAAATTATTATTGCAGAGACTCCAAGATTCAGGAAACACTTTATTTTTGTGATAAGGTACAACAGAGGCAACTGTTTGTAGGAGTCTGCAGTCTGCATATGTGCAGGAATTTTCCTATCTTGGATGGCAAACCTCAGATAAGGAAGGTTACTTGCACGTAGGTGCCAGGAAATGGCATTAGAAAATAAGACCCTAACTCTGTAAATAAGGAACAGGAGGAGAGGAAGTGGGATGTGTGTTAGATTTTAATTATAGCCAAACATTATAAGTGCTTAAGCAAAGCAGTAATGATTAACCTATGATTTAAGTTACCTGGAAGATTCTGTGAGCCAATGATATGCTGCCAAGTACGCTGTAACTTGAAAGTAACAAGCTATATAATGTCACTATGTAAGACAATAAAGATACCACATTTATCCTCAACCTTTGTGTGTGTAGTCACTCAACAACTGTTGTGTTATAAATGCTTATTCAGTTAACTAAGCTGTTATGATTTGAAGACAGCTGTATTCCCCCCCACAAAAAACCAATTTAATGCTATTGATCCCTCAGCTTGCTACAGTGATGTTTAAAGTTTGTGAACTCTTGAATGTTCAATATTTCATAAGAAATATGAAATAAAATGATGTGTTCTCCACCCAAGTCCAAAATTAACAAGAATCTAATTAAATGAATCAGAAACATTACTTGCATTGATTTACTGTATTGAGAAAATGATCCAAAGCTATATATTTGTCTGTGGCAAAAAATATATCAGTCTTTGCTTTCAAAGTAACTGGTGTGCCCCCACCCCTTTGGGAAGCAATAACTGCAACTGAACTTTTCCAATAATATTTGATCAGTCCTACACATGCACTTGGAAAAAATTTTGCTCGTTCCTCCTTATAGAAAGCGTGAACTGGGGATTTAGGTGGACTTCTTCACATGAACTGCCTACTCCAGGTTCTTCCACAACATTTTCTTTAGGAAAGTCAGAACTTTGGCCAATCCAAAATACTAATATTTCTTTTAATCATTTTTGAATTAGATGATGCTTGGGGTCATTGTCCTGCTGCATGACCTACCTTCTCTTGAGCTTCAGTTCATAGGCAAATACAATGACATTTTCCTTTAAAATTTATTGGTAAAATTCAGAATTCATAGTTTCATTGATGACAAGCTGTCCTGGTCCATAGGGGACAAAGCAAGTTCAAACCATGATACTGCCTCCACTATACAGTTGCAAGAAAAAGTATGTGAACCCCTTGGGATTACGTGGAGTTTTGCATAAATTGGTCATAAAATGTGCTCTGAACTTCATTTAAGTCACAACAATAGAAAAACACAGTCTGCTTAAAATAATACTACACAAACATTAGATGTTGCCATGGTTTAATTGAACATAACATGTAAACATTCACAGTGCAGGGAGGAAAAAGTATGTGAGCCCCTAGCCTAATGACTTCTCCAAGAGCTAATTGGAGCCAGGAGTGAGCCAACCTTGACTCCAATCAGTGTGATGATATTTGGATGTGTTGCTGACAGCTGCCCTGCCCTTTAAAAACACATACCTGTTTTGGGTTTACTGGTTTCAAGAAGCACTGTCTGATGTGAACCATGCCTCACAGAAAAGAGCTCTCAGAAGACCTACAATCAAGAATTGTTGACTTGCATGAAGCTGGAAAGGGTTACAAAAGTATCTCCAAAAGCCTTGGTGTTCATGTGTCCACGGTAAGACAGACTGTCTACAAATGGAGAAAGTTTAGCACTGTTGCTACTCTCCCTAGGCGTGGTCGTCCTGTAAAAATGACTGCAAGAGCACAGCGCAGAATGCTTCATGAGGTAAAGAAGAATCCTAGAGTGTCAGCTAAAGACCTACAGAAATCTCTGGCACATGCTAACATTTTTGTTGACACATCTACAATAAGGAAAACATTAAACAAGAATGGAGTACATGGGAGGACACCACGGAGGAAGCCATTGCTGTCCAAAAAAAATATTGCAGCACGTTTTAAGTTTGCAAAAGAGCACCTGGATGTTCCACAGCACTACTGGCAAAATATACTGTGGACAGATGAAACCAAAATTGAGTTGTTTGGGAAGAACACACAACACTATGTGTGGAGAAAAAAGGGCACAGCACACCAACATCAAAACCTCATCCCCACTGTAAAACATGGCGGAGGGAGCATCATGGTTTGGGGCTGCTTTGCTGCCTCAGGGCCTGGACGGATTGTTGTCATTGATGGGAAAATGAATTCCAGAGTTTATCAAGACATTTTGCAGGAAAACGTACGACCATCTGTCCGCCAACTGAAGTTCCGCAGAGGATGGGTGACGCAACAGGACAATGACCCAAAGCATACAAGTAATTCAACAAAAAAATGGCTTCAACAGCACAGAATACACCTCCTGGAGTGGCCCAGTCAGAGTCCTGACCTCAACCCGATTGAAATGCTGTGGCATGACCTTAAGAGAGCGATTCACACCAGACATCCCAAAAATATTGCTACACTGAAACAGTTTTGTGAAGAGGAGTGGTCCAAAATTACTCCAGATCGTTGTGCAGGTCTGATCTGCAACTACAGGAAACGTTTGGTTGAGGTTATTGCTGCCAAAGGAGGGTCAACCAGTTATTAAGTCCAAAGTTTCACATACTTTTTCCTCCCTGCACTGTGCATGTTTACATGTTATGTTCAATTAAACCATGGCAACATCTAATGTTTGTGTAGTATTATTTTAAGCAGACTGTGTTTTTCTATTGTTGTGACTTAGATGTTCAGAGCACATTTTATGACCAATTCATGCAAAACTCCACGTAATCCCAAGGGGTTCACATACTTTTTCTTGCAACTGTATGGTTCTTGCATTGGAATGCAGTATTTACCTTTCAACAAATAGAATGCTTTTCATTCAAGCCACAGAGTTCTATTTTAGTCTCATCCATCTACAGAACATTCTTCCAACAGCATTCTGGCTTAGCCATGTGATTTTTTTGCAATCTGTAGATGGAATAGCAATGTTCCTTTTAGAACAGGGGTGTCAAACTTGAGGCCCGCGGGGCGGCCTTTGAAACAGCAAAGGACCGGCCCATGGTGCCTCTGCCAGCAAAAACTGAGCAAACTCCATTTTCACTGGCAGAGGGCTGGCAGGAGGCCATCGCAGCCAAAAACAGACTCGGCAGGGCTGCACGACATCGAGCTGGCTATGCCTACCCTGGCCATGCACCCCCACTTAGCCCTGATGTGGCCCACAATGAAATTGAGTGACACCCCTGTTTTAGAGAGTAATGGCTTTCTCCTAATACCTGCCATGCGTACTATTGCTATTCAAGTGTTCTCATGAAGGTGGCCTCATGAACACTGATATTTGCCAATGCAAGAGATGCCTTTGCTTCTTTAGATGAACTGATACTCCTAGAGGTTTGCATACATTGGCCATACACAAATAATTTGGGATAATTTTCCTCAATAAACAAATGAACAAGTATAACAAGTTTTGAACTCATTTATTTAACTGGATTCTCCTTATCTAATTTTACAACATCTGGAGAACAGATCATATTTTAGGTTATGTTTATGTTTATGCAGAAACACTGAAAATTCAAAAGGCTTCACAAATTTTTAAGCCACTGTTTATACAAATAGCATTTGGACAAATGGTTTCCCTAAAAGTAGAGTTTAGATATATGGGAAAAGATCTGGAAAAGATGGAGTAACTGAGTTAACTATTTGTGCAGGTATTAATAGGTACTAATGCACCCATGTATGGGTATTGTAAACATTTGAGATATTTATATACAATATATATTATAGCAGGACCTGTACATGCTCTTGACATTCCCTCCAATACAAGCTTTTTCCCAGCAGAGATAGGACTGAATCATGTTAGAACTATAATAAGGAAAATCCAGTTAAAAAGTCTCAGGGTCCAATTAAGAATAGCCTCTTAGCACCTGCAATTTATTTATTTTTTTATTTTTTTAAATCTCTATGAATGATATGATCCCTTCCCAGTTTATCTTACTTATTCTGTAAAATCCTTTAATGTCCCTCCCAAAGATTTTCAAAGGGACTAAAAGAGGGGTATGAAAAATGCCTCCATTTTTTGATCTGTGGAAGTACTTTAGGAACAGTATTCCACTCAGTCACTTAAAGTCCAATTATATATGGTTTGTTCATCTGCAGAGTTCCCTAATGGTAGTACTAACTTTAAATAAACACATCTGATAGATTTTTTGCGCAGAATATCTGATTGGCTTCAAAAGTTATTCTTTATTTTATTCTTTATTTTAAATTCAATATTCCCTTCTTAGTGTTGAGAACCATCCTGATTACTTAAAGTACAATAAACCACTGAAGGAAAAACACACTGCTAGGCAACTCTTGTAAATTACAGTTAAAATACACTTGAAAGTCCTGGTAATCATATTCTAACATTTCAGTTCTTTTATGTTCCAGAATGTTTTTTAGTTTCCTATCTCACCATGCTTGGTGATTATGACGAAAAATTTGCTTTGAACACGTAACTTTCTTGGGGATCAAAATTATCCTTGCCATCCCTTATGAAGATCTCCTGCTTTGATTTAAAAGCTACTGGAATAAAACCTTCACCATCCGCAGTAAGAACTATCCAGGAAGCACCTAGGGAAGAGGGAAAAAATGTCAGAAGATGTATGCATGAGTTAGATGTACAAGCACTTGTCTAAATGTTAAGTATATAATCCTTTGTGCTTCTTTTAATAGGTTTTTTCTAATACTGTTACAAAAATTACATATCTGGTTTCAGTTTTAAGCCAAAGTAGATAGATAACACAGCTAATTATTTTTTCACCTTTGATACTTACAAAAAGATAATCTGGCTCTGATATGATATTTGCATATTATACATACATACATACATACCAGGGGTGAAATCTAAAATTTGTTACTACCGGTTCTATGGGCATGGCTTGTGGGTGGGGGTAATGTGACTGGGTGGCCGTGGCCAACTTTTTTTTAACGTTTAAAAAGCATTTTTTCTACAACTGTAAGAGGTTGCAGAAAAAAATGCTTTTAGAAGCCTCTGACGATCCCAGCTGAGCCACACGATCATCAGAGGCTTTTTAAAATTATTTTTAAAAGCATTTTTTCGGGCGAAGAGGTTGTAGAAAAAATGCTTTTAAAAGTTTAAAGAAACAGCCTCTGATGATCACGCGGCTCAGCTGGGCATGGTGGGGGGCGCAAGGATTTTTGCTACCGGTTCTCTGAACCACTCGCTGCCATCACTACCGGATTGGGCGATCCGGTCCGAACCGGGAGCATTTCACCCAATACATACATACATACATACATATATAATATTGATATATTTTTCTATGAAGAAAAATGAAGTTATCTCTTGTTGCAGAGATAAAATAGCAAGCTAGGTAAAAGTTTATAAATATATTTTAATTACTGTACTATACAACTTTTTTTAAAGAATAATGGAAAGCTTTAACATTTGAGGGTTATATCTGAAAATAATATTAAATATTTATAGTGTATCCCCTTTGTTTTAGTTTTCAGGGAAAAGTAAATTGTTGGAGGGCACAGTAAACTCATAACTTGAATTTCTTGATTACTGAAAATAATTCTTTTAATTATTTTTAAAGTTTCTTTTAATACCATTTTCTAAATTCTTATCTTGTTAATGGGGTATGTTGTACATAAGGGAGCTATTCTTGCTCATGTATGCATTTTTGATAAATTGGGAAGTTTATGCAAACCTAGTAAAAACTATTTCTTATGATTTTAAAACATTTAAGAAAAAGCAACAAGAAGAAAGCTTATTGCACAATTGTTATCGACTTTGTTAAAGATTAAAATTGCATTTATGTATTGTAGTGAATCATTGTTTTGACCATAGTTTGGCTGAGTTTAGGCTACACGATAACCCAAAACAAAGCAAGTAACATATGGCTTAGCATCTGTGTTCAGCCAGTAATTTAATAACAAAGATTTTCTCTTTACTACTAACATGGGACTAGATTTGACTAAACATTAGTAGCTTGATAAAATTGCTGTGATATAAGAGGGTAGCTTTATCAGGCATCATTAATCAGTGCATAGATGTCTGAGATCAGAGAGATAGAGAGACTGATTTTGCAAATTGCAATAATCCATCATTTATTTAATCATTTACTAAAATAACAATGTTATGCAACTGTATACATGAACCACTGGGTTCAGTGTCTAAATACACAAAATTATCATATGGTTTGAGCAGGGGTAAAGTTGCTTAAGTAGATTAGAGAAAGTATTACCTTGCTATCAATTTATAGGCAATCCTTGTTTTTCTTCGGTTCTATATTTGTGAATTTGATTACTGACAAAAATGTTTTTGTACCCCCAAATCTGTATTCACAGACTGTTGTGCTTATTTGCTGGCATGTGGGGCTGCAAAACAATCAGAATTGCCCAACATGCAGGCTCCCAACTGTTAATTTGCTAATATATGCAGCATTTTCACAGAACTACAAATATATGAGAATTGCCCGTGTTTCCAATCCATTTTTTACATTAATATATCCATAAATAGAGTATTCACAGTCCTGCCTAGGCTCAGGAATGAAGATCAATTTAACACTGTACTACTGAGTTATGGGGGGGGGGGGAACCCGTGTAAGTCAGGTTCCCAAAAGTTGGTTTTCACTAAAACAATTAGGTAAATTAAATAATAAAGAGGACTTGCCATGTTTCATTTCAACAATATGCAGATCAAAAAGTTGCTGGACTAAATTCAGATGGATTTTGCCATTATATAGTAGAACATTGCGAGTTTCTTCAGCTATTGCTCCATTTGAAGAACGCTTCTTCAGGCACATATACATTAAAAAAAATAAACCTATTATTAAAATATTGGTGATATTTGAAATCAGTCATTCAATTTGCTCAGCTTATTCTCAGAAACACAAAAGAAGTAGTCTGCTTCATGTAGGAAGCAACCAAACATGTCTATTTTTAAAATAACCCCATGAAATCAATATGAACCAATATCTTGTAAAGTCTTGAGAAGGCAGGGAATAAAAATAATAAATAATAATGTTCGAATCAACCTCAATTGGATTCAGGCATAGCACAAACTCCACAATCATGGTTTACAAACCACAATGGCTGGGCTCAGAAAACTCACATGCGAAAATGGGCCAAGCTACATTATAGTACTGCATAATATTTGAACCCAATCAAAACATAATTGGCTGAGTTTAGTCATAAATATTATAGCATTATAACAGAAATAGTGGGAAAGTACATAATCACTTCCTTCAACCCCTAGAAACTACTTATAATGAAATGTACATCTGGGTATGAAATAAAACTGAAATGAGGGGAGATAGAATGCAAGAAAACATGCACAAAAAGAGGTAAATCAAGAAGCAGGATAAGAAATGGGTTTTAGGGAAAACAAACCACTTGAGATATATACATAGTAAACCAAATATAATGTAGCCAGCTATATCCAATCATGGATAAAATTCACTTGCTCTTCATGTTAGATTAATGAAACAGCAGTAGTTAATTTCATTTGTGTGATTGTAGAAGAGCATGGTTTAAACAATATGCTAAGTCAGAACCAGTGAAACCAATTTGTGGCTTAGCACAATATGTGAGCCAATTCTTATTTCAATGTTTACCATATTAGATTACCATATCATTTTTTTTCTGAATAATGAGAGTGAAGTCTACCTTTGGGATAACTTGTGAGTGTAGAGGGCAGGGCCGGATTTTCCTACAGGCTAACTAGGCTTCAGCCTAGGGCCTCAAGATCAAGAGGTGCCTACATTCAAATTGTTAGCAAAATTAAAATTACACTTTCACTATAGGTGAAAGGGCCTCATAAGTGGAATAGCCTAGGGCCTCTTTTCATCTAAATCCGGCCCTGGTAGAGGGTATGTTGTGACATTACTAATAGATAAATATTCATATCCTTAAGATTAGTCATCACACAGTATTACATTGTTTTCAATGGTTTGTTTTTACTGCAATAATTATAACATATTCTATTTCTTATTATATCATTCTGAATGCAGTCCTAGATTATAAGGTAGTAAAACCATTTTGTACTTACTAGGGTTTCATTTTCTTTAATACCACACATTTAATCATATTCACTATGTCAATTGGAATTTGCAACATTCTCAACTCAATTTCTGCAAGGAAAACAGCAATAGGGATGGTGGGGGATATGCATGTGTGTATTTGAATCTAACGAATACTAGAACGTTGAATTTATTTTTAGACTCAAGATTGATGTTACATTCTTACATTTTGAAATAAGCAACACATCAGACTGGAGTTGGTGGTACTTTGGCTCCAGTACTATCTTGTGCTTTAGGAAACATTAAGCACCAATATTTCTCTGCCTTGATTGAGCGTGCAGTGTGCTCTCCAATTTGTTTTTTAAGATTAGGTATTCTCTGTTGGAAAGTGATGGGCCATAGATTTTTTACTAGGCATGTTCTGAAGAAAACATCTCATGATTGTTTGCTCGACAGCTTCATGAGAGAGGAACTTGTGAAGTCATCTGGCATTCCTTTGAATTTGTGAACTCCTAAAAAGTGACAGAATTTTCTGTGGAAAGGGCTTCACCATTTGGGGACTCAATCCTCACTGCTCTGATTGTCTAAACTGCCAAAAGGAGATGACGCACAGTATTCAGGAAGCAGTGAATACTTCCTTGAGGGAGAAAGTAAAAACAGCTCTATTGAAAGAGGTGATGTAGTCCTCCTTGAACCACAACAGTTACCATTCATCTCCAATTTTTCCTTTTTCTTTATTTTGCTATGCTGTCACTAGCTCCTTAACCCAAATGTGTATTTTCCTGAACCACAAATCGCACATAACTCGGGGTGGGTGGGTAGCTTCTTTAAAACTTTAAGGTGAAGTCTTCCCATTTACAGACAGCTTAATTCCAATGTAAAAACAGTCTGGTGATTTTCAGCTGCTCAGAGCTAGCTGATACTCAGCAATCACACCTTCTAATTCTAATGGAAGATTCACTGGATGCCTGGCCCCTGCAAGGAATTATTGGATCTCTGACCATGTGCACCCAGGGTTAGCTAAGCACTAGAGGATTTTAAGATAGAAGGTGAGTGATTACATTCATTAATGTAAATCAATTAACGCTAGACACGGAGAGACAGATTAAAAGGCCTGGCGTGACATCCAGACTATCACAAGGCAGTTGTGGCAGAACTCAGAGGATGCCCACACCAGATCTAAAGCATCCTTGCTTGCTTCAGATTTAAATACTGAACATTTAAGAGAAGAGAATCTGTTTCCATTGGGGAACTACAACTCCCAACATGTCCCAATATATTCATGCTGGCTAATATTTGGGAGTTGTAGTTCAGCAACATCTGGAAAAAAATGGGAGTTGTACTTTATTTCCCTACCTCTATACTTTTTTCTTCTTGTATTCGGTTTGTTTGCTTTGATGCAAACTGCTATAAATCATTGTGAAAAGATCATTACCAAACAGAATGCCATCTGTTTCATACTACCACCCCCTAAATAGAATCACAATTAAGAATTAATCAGACTTCAAACCACAGAACTGTTAGCAGCAGAGAATGTAGAATAAGTAACACAATTCTCATCTTGGATAACAAATACAGTATTCTGTATTTTATATATTCAAAATTTTTGTTTATTCTGAACGTTATCCTTTTCTCTTTGCTTCAAATTATGCACCCACTATCTCCTATTTTAATTATTGCCCTTCCACCTTTTCAAACTGTTCAAATATTGTTTTTCAAACGTTAAAATGCTATATGCTATAAAACATCAATTTTACATTCATCTTCATTGGCTTTCATAACCTTGCGTGTTTTTAGTCTACTTCCCAACTGCTTTCCTGATTGCCGTTATTAAATATGACTTTGACAAACTAGTCATTCTAGTCTCCTGATTTAGTCAATTGACTTCTTCAGACTTATTTTCCTCTCTGTCATCTACCTTCCACTACTTGTGTATGTTTAACTTGGTTTATTAAGATCATTTTCTGTTCCTTTAATACACTGTTGACATTGGGGGGGGGGTGTCATTTTATGATCACCGAAATATTTTCATCTTCTAAAATCTCCTTAAAACAGAATGTCATCAAAGTGGTTTATGATATTGCTTTTTCCTTGCAACTTTGTGATATAAATGATTTTGTTTTTAACCAAAGAAGTGTGCAACATTTTCAGATGCAAAGGCCACCTATGGTCTTTTAGTACTGTGCTAGGAAAACTAAACAAAAAGTTGGAGTTGGGGGAACTGGAGAAAAAAATATTTAATTTACATTTATATTGCATCAAAATTCAACATAGCCTAACAACATGATTGCTGTCAGGCATGCATTTAAAGACTTTCTATTACATAAAATTAACATTTTGATACAACTTTTGGGAGTCTTGTGGGTTGCATTTGAGGACATCTGCTTTTAGGCAGCTAAGTACAAAGGAAAAGAAAAAGGGGAAGGAGGGGAAATGAATTGCCTATGGCTGTATTTATAGGGAATCATGTGTACAGTCACAGAAACTCTTCCCTAGTAGGATGGCTTATGGACATCATCTATCCTCCCCATCATTTGTTCTTCACTTCTATGGTGAATGAACATGGGAACAACCAAGAATGATCTTGAATTTCCATTTTTCCTTTACACCTACCGGAATTTGACGTAGGCAGCCCTATCAATTTGATAAATAAATATTTCTAATCAGTCTAATCAACATAAACGTGCACCCCCCCCCCCCGACCCTCTCCTTCCATTCTTTTCATATTCTGTGAAATGCAATATGTTAATAATCCTGCATCAACACAAATGCTTTTAAAGAAAAAGTTAATTATTCAGATTTTTTTTTCCAACTTCTCCTCCTGCAAGGAAAACAGCAAGGGGGATGGTAGGGGATATGAATGTGTGTTTTTGAATCTAGCAGGAATACTAAAACCTTGAATTTATTTTTTTACACTCAAGGTTAATGTTGCATTCTTACATTTTGAAATAAACAACACATCAGACAGGAGGTAGTAGTGCTTTGTCTTCAGTACTCTCTTATGTTTTAGGAAACATTAAAACAGCAGGAATCAAAATTAAAACTTTACAGTGGAAAAAATGTTTTTATACATAGGGAATTTTTCTACTGCATGAAGATGTGAGTAAAAAGAAAGGAATTCCTATGCTCTTCTAAAGACAAGAAAACCTGACATTGGATTTATTTTTAAAATTTCTTCATTACATGAGCAAATATATTTCTCAATGCTTTGAATCTTTAAATGAATCTTTGAAGCATGTATGCTATTACTGACATATATTGATCCAGTAACTTGTTTCTCCAAAAATTATTTTAAAAACCACATACTTGCGTATTTATTACAATAGGTAATGCCTTCAAATTGAAAAGCAAATGGACATATAATATATTAAGGACAATCACCCGAGCAGAAAAGAATATGCAAATCTCACTTATCTAAAGCCAAATATGAAACACAATAGCCATTATTCCTTCTACAATACTTCAACCAAGCACAGAATGGTGCAGCCTGCTAAAAAATTTAAAGACTTTGTCAATTGGTAGCAAGTTGCCAAAAACAATTTACAGGGAAAATGTTTTACAATTACCTGGTATTTGATGTGTATGAAAGGTGGTTCTTGAGAAGAAGGGTAGACAAGAGACAATCTCCTTCCATTTTTAGTGTATTCTATTAATTCAAGGAGTCTCAAATGTACGTCATTGAAGCTGCTATAGCATCTTTCCAGATTTATGGATATTTCAGTTGCTCTTTTATCGTTATCCAATATGCTATTTTTAGGAGAATTTAAAGATTTGTGTGCTACTTTAGATGAAGTCGATGTATTGGAAAATCCAGTAGGTGTTTCAGCACCAAACAAGGCCATTGACCGATTAATTGGTTCAGCTTCCAAAGTTTCTAGAACGGATGAGTTTCTCAAGGCTCCTTTTTCATAAAAAATGCACACATTGGATGGGGATGTTTGTTCATAATTAGAACTTTTCACTTTCAGCATGTGTTTCCTTCTACTGGGTGACTGAATAAAAGTATTAACTGGTCTTGAGAGCTCCTGCTCCACAATACAATCCTCTGAAGCAAAGTTCTTAAAATGTCTTCTTTTCTCAGGAAGGCTAACAGAAGGCTCAAAAGTGAATGACAAAGTTTGGCTAGTCCCAGATTTTGATGAAGAGTCTTTGCCAGGTACTAATTCTTTCATCAGCAATCTGATGACGTATCTGTCTGAATTAGAGGAAGGAATAAATGTGGGATCGGTGAATTTTTGCTTGCCAACCAAAACTAGTAAAAGTTTATCTGTCAAAAAGGATAGACCTTTAGGTCGTTCATTTCTATCTAGCTGGATCTGTTGCAAGTTGGGCACACAGGATGATGTAACTGAAGAGACCAAAACAATATTGCAAGTATTAGAAGCTACTGCGACCATTTGAGCACTAAAGTCAAAGGCAATTACATCAGGGACCAAAATGCCTGGAATGCTGACTTTTCTAGTTGTGGTTATCTTTCCTTCATAAGTGACCAAGATCAATTGTGAAGAACACTGACCACTTCCTAAAGGGCTGACCTTCCTCCTCAAAGGTATACGACTGTGATCCAGTTTCCTGTGGTTTGCCAGGATACTGGTTAGATCAACTGGGCCTGAAGAAGATGAAGCAAGAGAATGCACTGCTACTGATTTATCCGAATCAAAAGACTTCCTTCTCGAATCCATTGAGTATTCTTCATCCCCAAGCACCAGAGTAGACTGCGAAGAATCTGTAGACATAAAATCCATTTCAGAACTTACCGGTAATTCAAATGTAATACCAGCATTTAAACCAGGCACCTTATCAGGAGGGAGTTCAGTAGCCACAGCAATTTGAAAATCCAAAGTAGCTTCAATAGCACAGATATAGCCTCCAACATCAAATATTGGGCAAAAAGTGCAAGCATTCAGTGTTTTCTTGGCCTCATCCCAAATATAGGAATGAAGAGAACTGCTTATAGCAATAACTAGACGATTGCCCTCCTTGGTCCAACAAGCACAGTGGATGAGTCCCCTGCTTTTAATGTCTGCTTTAACCTTGGAATTGTCTAAACGAACTGCATATAAAACAGAAGCATCCCTTTTGGTAAATACTGACAAAATATCTCTCTTTGGGTGCCACGCACAGCCTTGAGGAAGCAACTGGAACGGCTCAGCAATTTCACAAGTCCGGAAAACCATCAGCTTATTCTTTTCCAAAACGTTATGGATTAGCTGCCAAATGCTAACGCGCTTCTTATGCTGAACAGCAAGCAGAGCTGGCAAGTCGGCAGAATAACATGCATTCCAATAAAGTGCCTGGACATGTTCAAACTGACCGATAAGAATTGAATCACCAAACCTCCATTCTTTGCTATGAAAACGCAATGGTATCAGTGTAACCTGCTTGCCATCTGTCCATGCAATCCCATATACTGGATGAATAGCCTGGTATAAAGCATTAAGGCCAGTTCTAGGAAGTTTAGCTTTTCCTAGCTCCATGCTTGACATCTTCTATTACTATTGCTTGGTGTGAAGTAGAGGTTCCATCAGATTCATCAGAACAGCTTGATGTATCAAAGTCTTCTAGTTATAGACCAATTCCATGTTGATAAGTGATGGCCTTTCTTTTAGGCTTGTAGGTCACTTCACTGTGAAATTCTACTGCTATTACTCTAAGAATAAATCTACTTCTAGACTGCTTTTTCTATGTTCTTTTCCTGGGAGAAGCTAATGAGCTTTAACTAATTACTGATCTCATCTATTGCATTTCCTTAAAAGACTATTTTTAACTTTTAAATACTGGGCTTTAAAAATAGCACTTTAATACCTGAAGTATATCTCCTATACTCAATAGAAGAAAGCTTTGAGTGTTGGAGAATAATTTTAGTTGTAGCATGAACTGAACAACCAAACTCTTCTGCTCTTTGAAGGGAAAACTAAGTGAAAGGAACCATTTCTTCAAAGAGTGACATTTGCAAATAGTTCACTTCTAAGCAAGTAATATTAATGATAAACAAAAATCAAAATAAAATATTACTGTATTCTGACTGATACTGCCATTTCCTTCTGCTGCATCTAACCTCTTTTCATTTTGCTCCTTTTAATTTGGACAAGAAGAATATAAAAATATTTATTTCATATTTGCAGAAAGAAAATCTAGGTCTTAATCCTGTCATATTATTTTTGGAATAGACCTCTGATCAAAGATGTCTGCAACTATGCTCAGGAAAATAGGTTTTACAGTGTTTAATACATTTGAAAGCTGAATCACAGCTTTTGTAAGAAAGCCTGGATATGACAAAAAGCAGATGTTTACAGTAATATTAAAGTAAATGGATAAATGCTATCTTGGTACATTTTTCACAAACTGAATTTTTAACATACTATATTGTAGATGTTATTTGATAAGGTACTTATAATCTGTCTCATTAGTAACCTGCATCTGCATAATCAACCTGTCTTGCCCTCCCCTCTATAGTCTCATTCCAATCTATTTGAATCCTACATCAATTAAGGCAGGGGTGGGCTGCTGGGGGTTCGCAGGGGTTTGGGAGAACCTCTAGCTAAGACTCTTTGCAGTTCGGAGAACCCCCAAATCCCACTCCTGGCTGGCCCCACCCACCCCTCCCCTCCCCGGAGTCCCCATGCGGCCTGTTTTCGATGCATTTAAGTGCAGGGCATGCATGGAGGCTTGATGAGGGCGAAAAACATGCCTATCGGAAGTTCGGGAAGGCCAGAAATGGGCCCATTTCCAGCCTCCAGAGGGCCTCCGGAGCCTGGGGAGGTCATTTTCGCCGTCCTGGAGGTTCAAAGAAAGCCTCCAGAGCCTGGGGAGGACAAAAACGCCCCCTGCCATGGTGCAGGAGGCCGACTAGGCCACGCCCACCATGGCCACGCCCACCCAGCAACCGGGCAGAGAACCCCTTGCTAAAATTTTTGAAGCCCACCCCTGAATTAAGCCATTCGATGAAGCTGATGAAATGAGATATAACTCACAAAAGTTTATGGCTTAAAGCAGGGATCCCCAACCCCCGGTTCGTGGACTGGCACAAGTCTGCAGCATGCCAGAAACTGGACCATGCAAACAAGTGAAGCCCCATCCACGGGATGCAGGCAACATGTGAAATGATGCCCCCTCTGGTCTGCGGAAAAAAACTCTTTCCACCAAACCGGTCCCTGGTGCCCAAATGGTTGAGGGCCATTGCCTTAAACTCTGTTAGCCAAAAAAGATGCTACCAGAATCCTTTTGACTTTTAGCTATAAATGGCAGAGAATTTGTACAAAACACAAAAGCCATACCTCAATCATCACCTTAAAAATATGCCAAGCAATCATTGGATGGACACACCCAACAACACAGATAGTCGTACAATTACAATAATAACTGAGCCCAGAATTATAAGTCGTTATGGTCATAAGTTGAGTCTTACATGACTGGACCTGATTTTTAAATATTTTTTGTGACAGTCATTAAGTGAACATCATGGCAGTGGTGAAATCCAAATTTTTTACTACCGGTTCTGTGGGCGTGGCTTGGTGGGCGTGGCAGAGGAAGAATACTGCAAAATCTCCATTCCCACCCCACTCCAGGGGAAGGATACTGCAAAATTTCCATTCCCACCCCACTCCTGGAGGAAGGATATTGCAAAATCTCCATTCCCACCCCACTCTGGGGCCAGCCAGAGGTGGTATTTGCCGGTTCTCCGAACTACTCAAAATTTCCGTTACTGGTTCTCCAGAACCTGTCAGAACCTGCTGGATTTCACCCCTGCATCATGATCATTTAGAGAATATGGCAATTGTTAAGTGAACATTGGAGACATTAAACGAATCCATTTCAATAAAATGTAGAAAAAGTGCACTTGGGGAAAGAATCTAAGCTAAATGAAGAAAGCGCACAACCTTCTCTACCTGAACTAACCATGAAGCAGTCAGTTTTTTTCAAAGTCCTTAAACTAGGTTACCCCAGTTTCTCAGGTAGGACAAAGCACATCACAGCTCCACCTCAGCTATTTCCAAAATTGAAAGGAACCATTGGTTTTTCTGACGATGCCCGTTTGTGTGATTCCAGTGAACATGGACGCAGCTGTGCTGCGAGGGGGGGGGGGGGAAATCAGAATACTTTTAGTCTTATCATAAGGTCAAGAGCAGCAGTTGCAGCCTTGGGGAGCGGAGGCCGCTATAGATACTTATCAAGTGGCTAGGCCTGTCTGCGTAGGCGGTTAGATACCACTGACGCTGACCGCTGGATGCATTCAACACCCATCAAGGATGAATTCAGCACAGCGCATTGATGCAATCGCCGTGCGTTAAAAACACACACACACACACACACCAAAGCTGGCCCCGAGAATAGCTCTGCCCGCAAGCATCCCGCCGTCAAAGGAGCAATCGCCGCTATCCAGCAGGAAGCAGATTGCCCATTCAGCTGTGCTTTTAGCCGCTCGCACCCACCCCCTTACTCCAAGCTGCCGCCGAGCAAGCCCAATGAAGCAAAGCCGGGGGCTTCCCTCCCCTCCCTCTCCGAGAGCCCTGCCTTTCTTCTGCCATGGAGTAGGGGGATTGGCTAAGAGAGCCGAGAACACCCCCCCCTCCCATCTTTTTCATTGGCTGGACATCCTGATGGACAGCTCAGAGGGCAGGTGAGAGGGGTATGCGTTTGCCGAAGAGTCTTGCGGAGCCGGGGCTGAAAACGACAGCGTTGATTTAAGAAGCGAGCTTGGACTGGTGTGGGGGGGGCGGGAAAGCTGCTGTTGGATTCGAAGGCGTTGTAGCCATGGGAGTGGAAGTCGAGACCATTTCTCCGGGAGACGGTACGGTTCTTTTTTTTTTTTTTTTAACCTCCCTTTGTGACTTTCGGGGGTTGGAAAAGAGACTGCGGAGGTAGGAATGGTGGTGGTGGGGGGGGGTGGAATTGTAGCCCGAGGGAGCCGCAGAGGAGGCGCGCTAGCGCTCCAGCCGCCGCCACTTCTCTGCAACTGCTGCAGGGACCAAGGTGGTATCTGTAGGGGAAGTGTGTGTATGTCGTATGTGTGTGTGAGAGAGAATGTTTAAAAAAAAAAGAAAAATGAAGACATCGGAGGAGAACTGGAATCCAGTGTTTGGGACAGGAAGCCGAATTGGAGATTTTTTTTTTATCCCGCGAGAAGGGTGTGCTTGCTACAAGGCAAAGGCGATGGGATGGACCAACATCAGTCCTGGTGAGTCAGTGTAAGGGAAGAGCGAATAGACTTCTCCGATGGACACTAAACTAAACAAAATGTTCAATTAAGGATAGCTGTCTGAATGGTGTAGCACCTCCCCGTGTATTCATGAATTTTTATATACTCTGTCCAGTTGGTGGGATTCAAGTAATTTAACAACCGGTTCTCTGCCCTAATGATTTCTTCCAACAACCAGTTCATCAAACTGTTCAGAAAGTTAACCGGTTCTCCCGAAATGGTGCGAACTGGCTGAATCCCACCAACTGACTCTGTCCCTCACCTGTGTTTCCTTTGCCATAATCTGTGCTGCCAGATCAGTTGCTGGTTTCCTAAAATGTCTCCGGTAGTGTTTGATGGAAGTTTCAGATCAAAAAAAAAAACGGTGAGGAGTTGGATGACTTTCCTCCAGATATTAGGAACTGTAACCCAAAGAGAATTGGAAAACCTAGAAGCAAAAATCTGTGAGGAAAAAACTTCCAGGAGAAAAGGAGTAGCAACAATGCTGTCAAGCAAGGAAAACTTGAGACTTCCTGATTTAGAAAAACGGAGGCTGGTGTCTTTCCAGAACGGCATAAAGAAGGAAAAATATCCAGAGGGCTCTATGGGGGTCAGTCATTTGCAGTTTTTGGCAAGAGCAGACACCCCTAGCGATTAGGGTTTATTTAAATGGCATTTACTGACAGCTGCATAAATCCAAGCATGGTGAAGTAATTTAGGAACAAGAGCAAATTATAGTGACTATCACCATTTAGCAGACAGAGGAGATCTGTTTCTTGGTGCCAACCTGGAGAAGACTTTTATTCTTAGAGCAGCCAAGATTACAACTGCAGCACTTAGCAGCACAGTTTTGGGAGAATCAGGAGAAGTGGTCAATAATTAGCAGGAGATTATTAATTATTATTAATGGATATTAAAGAGTGGGGATTCAAACCCAAGTTAGTTTGCAAAGTTCTTGCTATTAGGGGCCATTTCTGATAGCATCTTTTCCAATCAACCCATTTAATTAAAAAGTATAAACTTGTGGTGACCTGAAGCTCACTTCATCAGATGCATAACAGAATAAGAGAGTTGAAAGGGACCTGGAGGTTTTGTAGTCCAACCCTCTGTTCAGACTGGAAACCCAATACCATTTCTGACAAATGGTTGCCAATCTCTTCTTAAAAACCTCCAGCGTTGGAGCATTCACAACTTCTGGAGGCAAGTTGTTCCACAGATTAATTGTTCTAACTTTCAGGAAATTTCTCCTTAGTTCTAGGTTGGTTCTCTCCTTGATTGGTTTCCATCCATTGCTTCTTGTCCTGCCTTCAGGTGCTTTGGAGAATAGGTTGACCCCCTCTTTTTGGGGCTTAACCCCTGAGATATTGGAACACTGCTATCATGTCACCCCTAGTCCTTCTTTTCATTAAACTAGACATACCCAATGCCAGCAACCTAGCATAGAGGCTACACTGATGCAGATCTTAAATTGGGGTTGGGTTAAGCAGGTGCTGCTTACATGTGAACAAATTACAAGTACTTTATCAATTAACAATTGTAATTGGTTAAAAACCAGTAGTGTTTGTTAATATCCTCCATCCTTCTTAATTTGGAAAATGTTCACTTCTGATTTTTTGCCATCATAAACTAGCACAGATTTCCTCCTATGGCATCTGGGGTCCAGTGTTGAGGAGAATATGTTTCCCAGATGGCAGACTTGACATTGATGTCGATAGCACATAGGCAAAATGTGGTCTTGTGGTGCAGAATTTACATGTGAAATTTTTGTTTAGCATATCTCATGACACAAAAATGACTCCTGTGAGCGCCTAAAATAGCCACAGTATGCTTGTCCTTAGCTATAAAGTTTTTGCAAAGCTTTCAGTTTTTAATATTTAGATGAAATGATGGCTAGATTTGGAGGAATAATGCGTTCACAAGACTCTTCGATTTCTATTAGTCATGATGAATATTTAGTACTTCCTGATTCAGAAGAGGAATATTTCTGATGGTTAGTTGCTAGGAAAATTAAAAAAGGGAGCTATTGTTTTCCAATTAAGATTATTAGCTTTTCAGAGGCATTAAGTTTGGTTCTGTGAGAAATAGGCTATTAATGTGAACTGAGATTTTTTGTTATCCTGATCAGTTAAAATCAAGAACCTTTCTTTAATAATTGCTGAGGTGTGTAGCAGGGATCTTAGAATAAGACTACCCCCGTATGTGGCTGGTTGATCTGTCAAAAACATTGGTCTATGTCTATGATGATCTATATTGCAAACCTTTCATCAAACTGCTAATCTGGAAACATTAGTTGTGAATGAATGTCATTTAGTAAAAAGACTGTTGATTTCTGTATACAAGCTAGTTTATTATTCTGGTTCATTGCACATTCAGCCAGATGTTCAGACTGGATTTATAATTTTTATCCATCTATTGAATCTTTCCTAAAGACCTGGGATAAGGAGATGTGGATGTGTTAAAAGTATCATTTTATTTATTTGTATCCTGCCTTTATTATTTTTACAAATAATTCAAGGTGGTGAAACATATCCACCGCACCGTCTGCCTCCTAGTTTCCTACAATGACAGCCCTATGAGATAAGCTGGGCTGAGAAAGAGTGAATGGCCCAAAGTCACCCAGCTGGCTCTCCTGGCTAGGGTGGAATTGAGCTCAGGGTCTTCTGCTTTCTAGCCTAGTGCCTTAACCACTAGACCAGGGGTGTCAAACTGGCGGCCTATGGGCCAGATGCGTCACGTGCAGGCTGCGCCCACCCCAGTTCCACAAAGGGGAAAAACTTCACGGTACATCACATGACAACACCGCAAGTTTGACACCCATGCACTAAACCAAACTGGTTTATATCTGAAATCATGCTTCAAAAAAACCCTTGAACTTTTAATAAAAGGTACAAGTAATAATGATTTATTCCTTCTATTCCTTTTCAGTAATCACTTTTTGTTTTTTTGGTAATGTTAATTATTAGCATTTTGTTTCTGAAGATCAGGCTGAATTTCCATGTAGTCTGGACTTCCTTGAAAATTTAGTTCCCCAGAAACCCAGTCTACCTGACTATAACAACTGATTAAGACTTACATTTTTTTTTTTCCCAAAGTACAGCAAGAAGAGACTACTGGATATTGCCATGGCATGTTCTCAGTTTGTTGGACTTAAGAAAACCTTGTAGTGGTTAATACAATGTAGGTGCCTCCTGGGATGCATTTTGCTAGAGACCATAAAAGATATGACAACAGGTTGATATGGAAGGTTTTACCCAGGGGGATAGAATTTTGAAAACCTGAATGAAGGGAGTAATATAGAGACATTACACTGATTATGTGTGTAATTTTGCAGTGTGTGACTTTCCATTACATGTACAGACTGTTTGGCTTTTACTATTAGTGTTAAAAACTAAACTGAATTATTAAACTGCTTTATATATTTCTTATGTAGTTTTATGTATTGGTTTATTCTGTTTTATCTTTTTAAGAGTATATTTTTATCAAAGAGATATCTAATAACTTCTTTTAAAGCATGTTTTATATTTTTAACAGGAAGGACTTTTCCAAAGAAAGGCCAAACATGTGTAGTCCATTACACGGGTAAGATCCATTATGAATAAAGTGATTTGTTTATTATTATTGCTGCTTTTTAAAATTTCTTATAGTCTTCCTCTCCCACCCCCCCACCCCACTTTTATACTTATGAATCAGTGGCATCCTAATCCATTCAATACCTATTTTTGGATTAACATAAATTCTATTAATTTATGTGAACTTGATCATTGATATTGATTTCAGCTGTATGGTCACCTACCCATTCCACTTTGTAAAGAGTGACCTTGATGGAGATAGAGGTTGAGGCTGTAAATTGGAAAACAGCAATTTAGTATATTTTGAAGAGCAGAAATAGTTCTATTGCTAGTGTGCTACTTTTCCCATCCTTGAGTTTAATGCCCTTCCCCAGTCATTGATGGCAGGATAATAGTGTTCCAGGCAATGTCTTTGAGATATGAAGAGGTAGAATGTCTCTTGATTCCAGAATGAATTATGGAAGCTTTAAAAAACTATCAAGCAAGGAGCATTAGAATCCAAGGATTTCTTTACCTTTACAGATGTGACAACTGATTTAAGAAGTTATAGTACAAAAGAATTCCTTCCAATATAGTCAGTATTATTCCAGTAAAGACTCCATCAAAATCTCAGAGCAGATTGTACTAATAGTACCAAATATTTACTCCCAATATTTGAGGCAGGTGTTTCCAAAATGATGAAATGTTCTAACTCTAAATTCTAGAAGAAAATTTGAGTGACTTGAGGGAAGAGTGACTTGGTTCATAATATGACTGCTCAGGTCCTGTTTATCCTCTTCTGATAAGAATTGCCATATGTAGTATTTATTTATGTAGCAAAGCTAAGTGTACAACTGGAAATGAATATGTGGGAGTAGACTGTTATAATATCAGTTCTTGCAAACAGTGATCATATCAGAAGTAAATTGGATCTGGTATCTTGCTGCTGTAATTTTGGTGTAAATACAGTGACTTTAAAACCATGGTAGAATTGGATCTAAAAGTGATGGCTATTAAACTTGAATTAGAAATATCAAGAAGTCTACACTTGATCATGAATCTCAGTGGCTGAATTTTGTCCAGTTACTCTCCCTTGAAGGTCTGCTTTGGAGATAAAATTAGGGAAGACAGTTGTGTATGTGATAGAAATAAAATCAATGTGGGGAAACGTAGAATATCAACACAATAAGTAAAAATTGGTACAGAATTAGAGTGAGCAATCCTTCTCCAAGTCTGACAGTAATCTAATTGTCAAATATTTGTGCGCTCTGGAAGTAAAAATACTTTTCATATATTCTCCCCCCTCCTTCTGTACCAGAAATGTAGTTTGGTTTTTCTGTGATTCTTTCTACACTTTTTACTCATGTTTGAATTTTTCCATTGTGCACTGAAGCTCATGAATCCATTTGATTCAAGGCAGAGCAAGCTTGGGGGCTGTAGTAAGTATGCGTTTTGATACCAGAAGGAAACCAGGTGCCTGATAAAGGAATATAATCTAATAAAATATATGTGTCCTCCTAGCTAGATGGAAGACATCTATTACAGTGTAATGCCAATTGCACTGGAAGTAACATTACTGAAAATTGCATCACCACACATATTGTAATTGTGCCCTAGGAAAGATAAGCCAGCCAAAACTGGATTAGCTACAAATCACGCCCCCCCCCCTGCAATTTTATTGTTTTTGCAAAGCTTCATCTTTTAAAACTGTTGCAACCTGAGATGGGATGTTCATTTATATGACAAAGGTTCATAATTCATTTTTCTCTACACCATTACCATGTCTCAAAAGATGGAGATTTTTCTTTTCTCAGAAAATTGTAATGGCATCTGATCATGGATAAAATGCATTGCCAAGAGTTGTGGGGGTATTTAGTGATTCATAATAGCAGAAAGTTTGTATGTTTTATGTAAAACACGTCTTCTGAGACTGCAGAAATAGTTGTTTTGAAAAAGTCCCAGATGTAGTCAATAAAATTGCCATTTTGCTTCTTTAGTGTTCTGTTTTTTAGAATGAGAGAAACTTAAAGAGGACTACAGTATTGTGAACTGAATTACTAATAATTTATATTGGTAATCATACTATGTAAATAATTAAGGTGGTAGTTCTTGTTTTCATTTTTCATTTTCCTTCATAACAGGAATGATAAATTATTAGTGTTTGTTGCTTTAATTTAAAATGAAATGGACCAAAACTTTAGTACCATCTGCACTTTATTGGATACTTACACTACAGAAGCAAAGTAAGCAGAAGTATATACAGGTAGCCTAGAATTACAATCATAAGTCATTGCAGTTGTAAGTCAAGGCACCATGTGACTGAATTAGAAGTTACAACTTCTAACTAATGACATCATTAAACAAATGTAGCAATCATTACATGAATCCATTTTTCCCAATGGGGATTTTATGCTGGAAACCAGAAGTAAATGCTCTAAACCAGGGATGAAATCCAACAGGTTCTGACAGGTTCTGGAGAACCGGTAGCGGAAATTTTGAGTAGTTCAGAGAACCGGCAAATACCACCTCCAGCTGGCTCCAGAGTGGGACGGGAATGGAGATTTTGCAGTATTCTTCCCCTGGAGTGGGGTGAGAATGGAGATTTTGCAGTATCCTTCCCCTGCCACGCCCACCAAGCCACACCACGCCCACAGAACTGGTAGCAAAAAAAAATTGGATTTCACCACTGCTCTAAACCAGCATAAAACATTGCAAATCATGGTTATGTGCTGGGGGATGCTGCAAATAGCTGTAAAAGTGAACAAGTTTTGATAGTAAGTCAAGTAATACAAGTAACTGACTATAATATAAACAGTGGTTTGATTTCCATATCTGTTTTTAACAGTGCTATAAACATAGTCATTGTCATTTATTCACTTGTGATTTATGGCTAGCATTTTATAAGAACTGAACGAGTTGTTGTATATTTAAGTTTACTATGGGTTGGCAGTTTGTGAAATTAATGTAAACCACGGGGGTCAAACTTGTGGCATCACATTGCTGTCATGTGACATTTTTTTCCCTTCGCAGAGCTGGGGTGGGCCTGGCCTGCGCGTGACGCATCCAGCTCATGGGCCGCCAATTTGACACCCCTGATGTAAGCTTTCCTCCAAAAGACAAGTTTTGTCCAAGGAAACTATGGACAAAATATATGGATCAGAGGTGGGTTTCAGCAGGTTCTGACCAGTTCTGGAGAACCAGTAGCGGAAATTTTGAGTAGTTTGGAGAACTGGTAGTAACCAGTTTGGAACCATCTATTCTCTGCCTCCCAAGTCCCAGCTGATCGGGGGGAAACGGATTTTGCAGTATCTTTCCCCTGGATTGGGGAGGGAGTGGAGTTTTTATAGTATCCCCCTGGAGTGGGGTGGGAATGGAGATTTTACAGTATCCTTCCCCTGCCACACCCACCAGGCCACGCCCACCAAACCATGCCACTCCCACCAAACTACACCCACAGAACCGGTAGTAAAAAAATTTGAAACCCACCACTGATATAGATGATGTAGTGTAGTGGCCACAATTTTGCCAAATTTTAATCCCATAGGAGTTGTGGATCCCAGATTTTTGATGCATTCTGTAATTTAGCCCATTTGAGGTATCTTGGTTCAGAAATTGTTTCTGTGTGATGCACCGCTTCACCCAATTAAACGGACAACCAGTTTTATACAGATTATGGACTATAATAAGAGCACATAATACACAGGTACTATTTCTAACAGCATCATTATTCTTATAACTTTAGGCCTGCTTAGAACCCATGTAATAGACCTGCAGGAATGAGATTATGCTGTGACCTCCATACCCACCATTATGTTCCTGCTGCTCAATTACAACATCTTCCAAAAATTAGAAAACAAAGCAGGTTAAATTCATATTCTCTATGTTTTGGCTTCCCATACCATTTAAAGCATAATCCAAATTCTACACTCTGCAATAGAGAAGACACAAGAAAAGTTTATTTCCTGTGGCAGATATTAGTCCTTCAGCCTATGAAGTGTAAAAATGTGGGATAAGAATACAACAACAACAAAAAAGGCAAGGCCAGTGAGTGTGATCCACTCTTCTAATTAGAGCTGAATTTCAAAACACCTCAGTTGCTCTGACTTGCCATCATGAAAATCTGCAGTGTTCAAGATGTAAGAACTGCTTCTGCTTCTGCTTCTGCATGAAACTAGCTGAAAATTCTCTGAACAAGAACTCTTTATGCACATCAAATAATAGAATATATCAATTTAAATGAACAACGGTGGAACCTGAGGCTCTGTGACTTTATACATGCATCTGAACCAATCACCAAAAAAGGAATGTCTTTGGCCCAGATAAGGTTGCTTCCAAATGGAGGATTTTTAATACTGCACGTTGGGACATTGTAGAGCTAGTTCATTGTAGTGCAGATACATAGCTGCACTTAACCAACCTGAAACGATCTCACAAGCTAAGATGGATTGGTATTAGTTAGTACTTGGGGGAACATTTGAGAAGAGTACATTGGCAGACCACTTCTGTATTGTTGCCAAGAGAACTGTATGAATGAATCAAGCTTGGCTCTAAGGAAACTTTATTTACATTTCCTTAATTTGGTTTTCCAAGGAAAGGTCAAAATAGAAAACAGGGGATTGAAAATGGAAGACATCATTAACTGAAAAATTCCCACCCCATGGGTGGAAAGCACCAAATTGAGCGAAGGCTTATAAATATTGTGGCTTTTTCTTATTAACTGTGGTTATTTAACCATCTCCAAGTTCTATTTTTTGCCTGGATCCTATGTCAGACACTGTAAATGAAAGAGACTTGAGCGATGCATCCAGTGGTGGGATTCAAGTAATTTAACAATCGGTTCTCTGCCCTAATGATTTCTTCCAACAACCAGTTTGGCAAACTGCTCAGAAAGTTAACAACCGGTTCTCCCGAAGTGGTGCGAACTGGCTGAATCCCACCACTGAATGTATCCAAATGGTGTTATGAAGACTGGGATGTGGATTAAACAGCTACTTTGCTTTTCATGCCAGTGTTCTTATATCTTTAATATCA